AAACTTTCGAATTTATAATATTAGTATGATTAGTATGATTACGACCAAGAAAAGTAGAAATAGACATTACAAAATATTTTTATTACATTAATTTGGTAATCAGTGTACAAGGAATTAAATATCTTTTTACATATTTTTTAGATGTCCTAAGTTTTGTGCAAAAAAGTGTAATAATGCGCATTACAAATCTGTACGTGGATAAAATAGATGAAATCGGTCAATTTAAATATTTTTACCAAGACTGGGGTATTGGAGGCACTTCTTTGTAATACCTGGTAATAAAAAATTAAGATTATTCATTAAAAAATAGAAATAATATAATAATTGTTCAACATCTGTGAATTTTAATAGACAACAGAAATTTCTTGAAACATTTTTCTTCTTGCAAAATAAAACAACAATGTCTTTGTGTAAGCAGTGAAAACTCACGCTTAATTGTATCGAGACTCACCTTACAAAACCACCTAAAGGTGAAAAAGCCTTATCATGCAGTGGTACCAACATAGTAGAAGATTGCACGCCGTTGGGTAGTTTGACGAAGTATTTTACGCTGCTTGGGATGAGCACACCTGGTTAAGAATTAAAAATAAAAAAAAATCTTTAACAATAATAATTTAATTACGTGTATAAACAGGATAAATAGAAAATATTCTATACAGTTTTACTAACCATTTGAATCGTATCTGTATTTGCGCAGTAAGGAATGCATGTTTGGATTTTGTATGTTGGAAAGTACCACGATAGCACATGACTGAAAATTTAAATAATGTTAGTAACACTATTAATTGCAAGATTTGATGTCATAATTAGTGAAATGTTAATAAGCATTTATAACTACTGAAATATTTATTGTCTTTGCCTCTATCTTAGTAAGTTTCAATATTAATTTGTGGAATCTTACAAAATAAAACTTTAAACTGTCGTGGTTTTGACAAATATAATGTTCATAAGATACGGGTTTCTTACCACGATTGAATTGTTTTACCTCCCGATATCGATATCGGTAGAATAGAATCTATACAAATATTATAAAGAGGAAAAAATATTATTTTTTAATTTCACGTGTATGGAGTCGCGGGCGAAAGCCAGTATTTAATATAAACTCAACTTATATTTTTACTAGCACCCAAAAAAGGTCAAAATGAATTCCAAAATCCCAAGGTTACCTTTGTAGCACTATCGCTAATTTTCTTTTCCACTTCGTACGAGCTATCTGATTGTTCCTTGGTTTTTATAGCATCAGGATTATTCTCGAAATGCAATCCATAAGATTTATGTTCCAACATTGTATCAGAACCATCAAACATTGGATCATTACCAATATCTCTAGGTGCGACTCTCTGAAAGGCAATTTATAAAATATAATCCTTACTAAGAAAGGTTTAAATGAGGTTATAGCATTGCAAACAAGCGTTTTTATAGTAAACTAGCTTTCGCCTGCGACTCCGTCCGTGTAGAATTAAAAAAAAAAGTAAGTAGCCAATGTGTTTTTACAGACTAGCCTCTACATCCATACCAAATTTCATTGAGATCCGTTCAGCCGTTTAGGCTACATACTTTAACAAACATCCTTCCATCCATCCAAACTTTCTTATTTACAATATTAGTATGATATATATCATCAAGTTTTCTACAGAAATGTTCTATTTTCCATAAAATTTGTCACATGTAAGACAAAAGTCAATTGTTGAAGAAATCCATTCATAAAAATCTAACGATTTTCCTTATGCACATCTTTCACAGCGTTAAAACAGCGACCTTTTCTATGGTATTATAATTTTATTTATACAAACAAACATACCATTCAAATATAATTTTAGAAATACATTTCTCACATTTTTTTTACTTCTAATTACTCTTAAAGAGAAACAACTAATTAAGTATATATTTCAATTGAATTTAATATTTGTTGAACTCGAGTTGAAAGTAACAGCACAAAGGTTTCTTAAAATAGAATATCTGCTTGTGTCTGTCAGTCTAACACGACTACCTCAAGCACTTGGCTTAGTTAATTAAAAGGATAAAATAATTTGAAATTTCTTGCTGAATAAAGTAAAATACCAAGCACTGATGAACACAAAAAGTGAAAATAATATTAACTTAAAAATATAACAAACTATGTTTTATGTTATTTAGCTTAGTATATGTTGTTTTTTAACATCGAAAATATTGGCAAAACCGAGTCTGCAAGACGTTAATATTCTCTACATAAACATAACAAACACTCTTAACCAAAAGGGGTAGGTAGAGATCACAAACTTCATATATCATAGTAGTGCCATATCTCTCACTTCTTTGTCCATTTACAAACCGACATAATAATCGGTTATGGTTACAATTAAATATTTCTTCACTAATAAACTAATTTTGCTGTATACGCTCGTGACCGTTTACACCAGTCTATCCTTACACCCAAATTGTAATACTAACAGCGGAGATAAACTGCGGCGATGAAATATATAAAATTGTTGCACAAATTATCCACATCGTGTTAAATGGACGCCACCGTTTCAACTAAAAGTGGAATAAGAAGTTTGAACGTAACAGAAGGTATTAGATTATTTTATAAACATCACTCCAATTACATTAAATGTCATAGTTTTGCTTTGGAATCGAATGTTATTGAACACATCCACTCGTATTATCCTAAGCAATATACCGAAATGGAGATGCCAAATGATTACTTCTGTGTAGGATATATCATCAGATGTAAAGAACATGAGTTGGTTCCTGACGATATTATATCGTGAGGTCCGATTCTATCTTTGGCCATCCCATTGTCTTCATCTTTCTGAGTATAATTGATCTTTGATAAGCTTACTTTAACTATGTCACCTTTGTTCAAATAGGATGTTCTTTCGTATTGCGTACAGCAAAGGATTGCCGCTATTTTGTCGTTTTAATGTCGTTGGATATAACAAAAGAATGATAATATCGATGCTGAAGTACATTTATTTGCAAATACACGTGACTTGAATTACGATAAATAAATTTATAATTAGGCCGTCTATACAATTGGCATTGAGACTATACGTCATAGACAAGTGTTCGCGCCCACGCAACGCCCACCAAATGTCGCGACATATGCCACGATGGTACCATCGTTGACAGTCCACACATTTGTGATGCTTCACAGTGGAGCAGAGCAGTAGAAATGAACAGTACAGCAATTGTTTGAATGTATACTGCTAGCAGAAAGTACTGTTTTGTTATGGTTTCTCTGCTCTATCTTAGTGTGAAATTAACTTTACAGAAAAAGTAAACTTCTATTGTTTTAATTGTGATTCAATCTAAGGAAAATGACCAAAGGTGTCTAATGTGACTCATTTAAACAGATTAGTGTTACAGTATCTCATAATTAGAATGCAAATTAATTTTTTTTTTAAATATAATATTATTAGTGGGTAATATGATTTCATTTGTAATTCATCAGGATCTAGAAAGGGGGGTTTTCAATTATTATCCATCAGTATAGAGTTGATGGAAATGTCACAATACTGAGAGACTTTTCCTCTTTCATTCACGAGTTTATCAGAAACGTAAATTGCTCTAAATTAATATTAATTCGTGTGAATTAGTGCTCGCGCTCGTCCGTCTCTTATACTACCCGACTCTCTTATTGCAGTCTCGCTGACGACATCGTGTTTTTTGTGAGAGAAGTCGAAGAAAGTCAACTCTTTTAGTCATATTTCCAAAATATACTTAAAGATGTACGCAAGTAAAATTATTTCTAAAAAATGGTTTCAATAATGTTACATATTGATAACCTCCTTTTTGAAGTCGGTTAAAAAGATAGCATACGTAGACTGTTTTAGTTAATGAACAAAAAATTATGTAATATATCAACAAAATTATAATCCAGCTAATATTATTTTTATTATGCATTAGTCCACACATAAAATTACCTCAAGTTTTCAAGTTACCTTTCAAAAACGACCATGACATAACTTATTAGTATTTTTGGCCGATGAAAACTGTTCGCCTTGGAGGTTAACTTTGCCAGATTGTAAGGTGGCCAAGAGCCAAATTTATACAATTTTACCTGTCCAAGTATATAACGTTGACCAAAAACTATCGCCAAAATGATAATAAATGAATTAGAAAACTTCCACATTGGTAATCTGGACCGAAAATTCATCTCGCTTTACAAAGTTCAAGTGAATTCTGATTAGATGTCAGGTTGTCTTGTCTTGACCCTGACAACTCTATTGACTAGGAGCCTAAAAGAAGGTGCCATCTACTTAAAGTTATCATAACTCGATAGAACTCACCGTCAAAAAAACAGTCCATACAGTTTGAAGATAATTTACGTCTGTTGCTGCAGTTCTAGCGGAACTGAATTACGGTGCAGATTGCTACAGTTGCGTGTTATTTTCAGGTCAACCGGGAACTTCGCTGGGGGCGCTGGAGGCGCGGCGGGCGGCGGGGGCGCCCCGCGCTCCGCGCCCGCCACGCCGCTGCAACTGGAGCCCCACCCGAGGCACTCCTCACACAAGCACGACAAGTAAGCAGCCTGTAACTTCTCGTTATTTCTCTGCAACACTAGCGCCAACTTGAATATGCGATTCGCGGGAAAAAACATTACATAAGAGATAGCAAACGCGGGCTTTGCACTTTTGTGGCTTTCGAACCCCTTGACTCTATCTAGGAAGTCCACAATAGTGAAATATAACTCCAAGTTCATGGTTTATCGAGAAAAGTAGTATCTTTTGACAGATACCAAGGCCCAATTCAGGTCACTAAATAGAGACTAACATACGATCAAATCTTACTTGTTTTATATTTCAATAGATCTAATAGTGTTGTAGCTATGTAGTGCATATTGTTATGTAGTCGTTTGCTTCAAAGCTGCTTTTGTTTTTAATTGTGCGCACTGGCCGGAAAAATATAGAACTAGGTTAACATTACTCGAACACATTTCGTATAAAATTCCAAACATTCGATGTTTTGTTTAAACCTGATATTGCTCGAATAAATTAAATCTATGCGTTAACTAATCTTACTTCTTACTAATATTATAAATGCGATAGTTTAGATGAATGGATGGATGGATGGATGTTTGTTAGCGTTTGTAACCTAAACGGCTGAACGGATCTCCATGAAATTTGGCACAAATTTAGAGCATAGTCTGAGAGAACACATAGGCTACTTTTTATCTCTGGAATAGTTACAGTTCCCGTGGGATTAATTAATTAAGTTTTTTAATGTTTACTCGATCATTCTGCAACGGTGCAACATATCTTATTGAAATTTGGCACAGATATAAAACAAAGTCTGGAGTACACATGGGATAAGCTTCATCCCCGAGAAATGTCCGGTTCCCGAGGGATACGTAGCTTTTTGTAATTTATATAGTTTGTATGTTTCTAATACCACGCGTACGAAGTCGCGGAATCGTGAATTATAATTATTATATTTGTTTATGTTTAACAGACGATGAATAATTTTATGTAGGTACCTCTGCTTTGGCCGTGATTTTGCCAATACTTAAAAAAAAAACGGTTATCAATGCAGTGGTAGGCCCCCTTAGGTATTACATATTGTATTAACATATTTGGTAACCGGTCAAATTATCATCGCTCTTGACTTTTTCTAGAACAGGTCACCTTCATATGGAATATATATTGCAGAAACAGGTGCATTATTCAAATAAAATAAATGCTCGTTGAAAATGTGACCGCGAGTTAACATAAATAATTTATTTTTGACCTTTGTTTACGTCAAAAACGCCTTTTCGTTATTGGAACATTGGCAAAACATATCTCTAGACCAGACTATTTATCTAATGTGGATTTTGGTGAAAAAATTTTTTGGTTTCATTTATTTACTAGCTGTTACTCGCGACTTCACTCGCATGAAATTAAAAAATGTTACTCAGTGATACGTAGCTTTTACATACAAAAATACAAACCTTTCCTCTTTATAATATTAGCTACTAGCAGTTTTTTTTAAAGTATTTTATAATAACATTAATCCTGTATTCTTCAGTGATAATGTAGTTTTCTCATAGTAAAAGAATTTTCATAATCTAACCAATAGTTTTTGGGTTTTTCTTACATAAAAAAACAAATCTTACCTCTTTATAATGTTAGTATAACAATATTAATCTAATGAAATATTTACCACTAACTAATAAACATGAAAAAAGATTCTTACAGATAACGCGTAATAATCGAAGAATCTAACATTAGAATTCCACTGTCTTAGCATTTTTATTCAGACATAATGTCATCCTTTTTATTCCCCTTGATAAAACAGAGATAGTGATATTAATACAATTGCCAGAGCAGTCGGTACATTTAAACTGGGAATCGAAGCGATGATAGGTTGGTCCCTATTGTACTGGATTTAATTACTAAATGTAATATAGATAATCTACGATAATATGATTGGCTCAATGTTTGATGTAGGTAATCAGTCGCCATTATACCGTGATCTAGGTAAAACGTGTTTGTCGAATGTTGCGTGGTTTGTTAGGTGTTTGTGTTTGTGATGTGATACTATGGCACCATCCTATCAAGATACGCAGGAGCAAAACGCTTGGGCTGTTATACGGGTGATGAACTATGTGTACGACGGCCTAAGGTATAGTGGAGGAATAATATTTCCTACCCATATAGTAATTTACTAGGGAACTGTTAATTTGAATAGTACAGAGGTCAAGGTCGTATTAATATGATCAAGTTAATGTATTTAATGTAGTTAATATAATATTTAATCAAAGCGTATTTTCCATTTGTATTGATAAAAATATTAAACAAAACGATTCATTCAGCTAAAACTTTAAATTACTTATGAATATTAATGCGGTAGCCGCCATACTTTGTATACCTAATTGTGTTGGAATAATACGAATTTATTTTTATATAACTTGTTCTATAGAATTAGACAAAAAAAAAGGTACTACGTATTTTCTTAAGCAAATAAGTTGTCTATTATTAATACTATTTGGGATACACAGCATGTACCTAGTGTTATACTATTGTGCTAGTAACATAACGACAGTAATAAAACCGTAACAGGCTCTCTTAAATCGATTTAAGACGCGTAGAAAATGTGCCTACCGACTTCCGCAATCTTTACATACCATTCATCTCTTACAAGTTTTTGTACTAGCTGTAATTTTTTTTTTATAATATAAGATGGCAAACCAGCAAGCGGCCACCTAAATCCACGGAAATGGAAAGCGACTTCTGCCCATAAGATGTTGAAGCGGGCTCTACTACTGTTGAATTTATAGCTGTTTGTTGTAAAATGGATTGTTAAGTAATGCATGTATCTTTAAAACTATGTAAAGACAAAATAGAAGTTGCTAGTCACTTGGGTAAATCATTTTAACAGTGGTATTTGCCCACGAATGAGCCGGCACGCCCGGTGCAATACCACGACCACACAGAAAACAGGCGTGAAGTGGAAGCAATTCCGCGTTTGTCTGATGAGTGTGGTGCCGGAGGCCTGATTTTAATCCATTTTCCTTTTCACTTTTTTCTTAAGAGGAAAAGATGGGAAGGAAAACTGGATTTGACGGTAGAGGAGACGCATAGGAAGGGGAAATGTCCTCTTTATGTGCGTCTCCTCCTCCGTCAATTAAGGGGAGGCAACACATCTGCAATTGCGGATGTTTATGTGCAGCGGTCGCTTTCCATTTCGGTGGGTTCAGGTGGCCCCTTGGTCATTTGCCACCTTATATTGTAAAAAAACATGATAGTATTTTTAAATGTCATAAAACAGTGTGGTAGAATTAGTACTAATTTTAAAGAAAACTTTAACAATCAGTATGAATAGATACCTGTATCAGTACGAATCATTGTAATCAATATAACAACAGTTTATTTTGGATTTCCCTGCATTAATTATTTACGTGTTTTATCGCTATCACGATGGCGCAATATGTTCGCGCCGTTTTTTGTCGTATTCAATGTATGTATTGAAAGTAATGAAGATGACTAGAATGTCCATTTGTTTGATAGTTTCTTCTATACCTATCTCTTTCTCTTGTTTCTTGAAGTTAAAGACAATTTTGCCGATTTCAAATTCTTATACCATTAGGTAGCTATGTTATCGCCGAGTTACTACGAAAGAGCGTCCAGGTACAAGTACTGGGTTTGAATCTCGCTATGTAAATATATGATTTTGGAATTTTCGAATTTCATATGTACATAATTTGCCCGATGTTCTTACGGTGAAGGAAAACGCCATGATGTAACCTGTACGTGTCGTCGATGAAATTTACATATGTGTGACGTCAACCAAGCCCTCAGTGGGCTATTGTGGTTGACTCCTTAGTCCAGGTACCTATGGCTTCCTAGTCACGCTAACTTAGCGCAGGCTCCGCTGACTATAAGGAGCTGGTGATAATTACTA